CCACGTCCTTCCACTTTGTTCTCTTGGGATATTTGCTCTTGAAACCCAGCTACCATGCTGCGTGACAGCCATGGAGAGGACTATGTAGTAGGAACCAAGGCCCCGGGCCCACAGGCCTGGCTGGGTTCCAATCAAATAGCTGATAAAGACACAAGCTTACCAGCCATGGGAGTGAGCCATCTGAAGGCAGATCCCCCAGCCCCAATTTTCAGTCGCCCAGCTGATGCCATGTGGAACAGAGAGGAGCCACTCCCAACGACTCCCCACCCAAATTGGAGACTCACGAACAAAATAAATGATTGTTTCTGGGTTAAGCTTCTAAGTTTTTTGGCTTTGTTTTGTTGTTGTTATTTTGGTTTGGTTTTGGTTTAAGCCACTCAGTTCTAAGGTAGTTAGGCAGCAATACATGGGCAAAATGCCAATTCAATCAGATTTTTCTCTTTTGCAACATATGACTGCTTCTGGAGGTGGGACTCTGAGGTCAGGGCGAATCTCAAACATTGCTGTTCTTCCTCTTTTACACAAGGGCTATGGACCTGCCAGGTTTGGCTGTTCTGAAAGCCACAGCGATTATGGCTGTTGAAGAGGTGATCTTTCAAGCAACTCTACATTTACACGCGATCGCACTAACCCCCTGTATTTGAGAGTAACTGGGCATGGCTCTCTATCGCAACCCTGAAGAGGACAACCACTACCCTGCTGACTTTAGCTCCAGTAAATGGGATTTTATTTTTTCACTCAGTGACCAAATCCTTACCAGAACCTAGATCCAGAAACTAGGTTTTTTTCCCCTTACCCACTTTATTCCAAGCCCGGGCTTCTTTTTCTCAGCCCGATACACCATTTCCACCGGCACTGTGTGGCGCCCTTCCTTCCCCACCAGCTGGCAGCTTCCGTTACTTCTCATCTGACCGTGCCCACCCATGGGCCTCCTTGACAATGACCAATACCTTCTTAAACATTTTCCTACTGGTTATTACTGGACAGGCGGGTTAGTGTAGTAGTTTAAAGCACGTGCTTTGCAGTTGGGAAGACACGGGACAAGTTGATGAGTTCTCTAAGCCAATCTTCAAAGTATATGGTGAGGATTAAAATGAGATGCTACATGATTAAATGCTTCGCCCCTTCTGGCCTGGACTGCTGCCTCTATAGATATCCAATATTCTCTTAGTGATTTGTGAAACAGAACCTTATTGTTGGATATGCTAATGTGCCAACCCCGGAGACTACTGTTCCTGGTGGCCTGGCAGATAGGTTGGCTAATGCGATAAGGCTGAGGTGTCTCAATGCCCCAACAGGAAAGCTCTTTTAAGTGACTCACCCCTGGGCTCGTTGCCTTTCTCTCCTCCTTGTGAACATGATGCTGGAGAGTTTACATCAGGTGGCCACCTGGTTGACCGGAGCTCTGCACTGACGCAGGTGGGAGGCTGAGAAGGAACCCAGGTCTCAGGTGACCGTGGAGTTACCACACCAGCTTACCTTTGTGCTCTTTCATGTGGGAGAAGAAAAGACCTTGCTTAAAACAACTGTATTTCGTGTGTCTACTCTTAGAAGCTGAACTTAATTCCTAACTGAGACACACAATGGATGCTAGGTACAGTTAGTATTATTGTTCTCTCTTAGTATCATTTCCCTAATGCTGTGGGATTCTCTGCTCTTTGGGTCCAAGACATCTCAAGGCTGATCTGTCCCAACACTTCAGTCCTTCAGTAGTTCTGGTTGAAATAGAAAGGAAATACCCACTGCCACAGACTCTAGGGGTATAACGTTGCTCTAAACGACCAGGTTTTACTTCAGCTGGGGACTGGAGGAGGGATCTTTCTGCTTGTTGTTTGTCAAGGTGCTGACTAGTTTTTGTGACCTGCAAGAACACATCCTTATTCACAGGCATCTTCGTAGGATCTGTGTGTGGTGAACCTGCCTGTTAGCCTTGCACTAACTATTATAATGTCAATGTGTAGAAAATGAAATTAGAATTAAAGACATGACAAAAAAGTGAGTAATCAGGACAAAGAGAAGGCTTTAGCTCTGAGATTTTCCTGTTTTTACTTAAAAAATGTTTAAAATTATATTCCATAGACAATTAAAATTTCATTTTTCAATTTAAAAATATTTTGCAAAGAAAAGAAGACAATGTGTTATAGTATCTTTTAGATATGTAGAAAATCCAATTAATTTTAGGGTAGATAATTTTGTGTAAAAAAGGTTCAGTTCTATAAGAACTTTTAAAATTGGCATTGCTTCATTTATTTAAAGAGGTATATAGATCAAAAGAGCATAAGTATCAAAGGTAAAATTTTTTCTTTTTCATAGTCACAGAAATTAAAAGATTTTTCCTTTAAAAAAATGTTTAATTCACCCCTTTACCCTCAGTCAACAACATTTTAGTAAACAAATACTTTACCTTCAAATAAACATTAATTTAAAATGTTAATATACATTAATTACATGGAAACTAATGTTAAAGATATTTTTTATTCCTATCTTATAGCACTTTATTTTTCAACTGAATTTAGAAATGCTTTTAATTCTATCACTGCTGATTGATCAATGTAGCATACAAACAGGTATGGACTTAATAATTTTTTTAATCAAAAATCATGCAGCTGAGAATAGAGCAATTTATACGTATATAATGTATAGCTGGCATTTCTAAAGCCATAAGCTATAAAGGAAAAATAATATTATATATATTATTCTCAGCATGCAAGACAAGGGAAAAAAAACCCTAAAACCTTTCATCAGTGTTAAAACTTTAGTAGTTGTGGGGCTCCTGAGTGGCTCAGTCCGTTAAGCCACCAACTCTTGACTTTGGCTCAGGTCATGAGCTCAGGGTCGTGGGGGCCAAACCCCATGTTGGGCTCTGAGCTGGGTGTGGAGCCTGCTTGGGGTTCTCTCTCTCCCTCTCCTTCTGTCCCTCCCCACTCCCTTCTCTCTCTAAAAATAATCAAACAAAAAGAAAAACAAACAAACAAACAAAAAATCTTTAGGGATGCCTGGATGGTTCAGTGAACCCACAAAAGCGGCTGCCTTTGGCTCAGGTCGTGATCCCAGGGTCCTGGTTCGAATCCTGCATCAAGCTCCTTGCTCAACGAGGAGACTGCTTCCCTCTCTACCTCTGCCTGCACTCTGCCTCCTTGTGTTCTCTCTCTCCCTGACAATAAATAAATAAAATCTTAAAAAAAAAAAAACCCACTTCAGTAGTTTTGCAAATAAATTCTAATCAGTGATGATTTCTTACATGAGGCTTCCAAGGTAGAATTTCTACACTGAAGCCCAATGGTAAATACGACATCTGATGATCTTACTGACTTTCTGAGAAAATACTTTATACTGCTTGAAAAATGAGAGAGTCTAATAAGGTAGGGTTTTTTTTTTTTTTGCATTATTTTCACTTAACTTTTAAAACAAGACATGTACATGCTAAATTACCAACGATCTACCAGATTATTTTTAACTTGTTGGAAAACTACAATTGCTGCTCTTTCTGGAAGCTGACATTTATTAAACACTCAGAGTTTTCCTAAGTTTGTGATGTTATATATAATTTCAGGGGCTTTACCTAAGTCAGAGTAAAATGGTGATTACTTTCCACTGATCTTTACACTGAAAAAAATGTTTCTTACTATTTGTAGTTTCTATGTGTCATTCATTTAATTCTTGCCATGCAGACCAAAAAAGTGAAAAATGTGAAGATCGTCCTTTTTGTAAAAGGTCCAATTACTTATTTATGAAATACCAAAGGCCAGTGATGATGCTGTGATGGGAAGAGAGGAATATGGTTACCTGCGCACTCCACACTTGAAGTCCAGTAGAAGAGAATCCAGTCACCTTTGCTTGTCTTAAACAGTTCAGTGTTGTATTTCTAAACTTATACAGCATGGAAATAAAAGTCTCCATGTTATTGGATGTACTTTGGTTTAGAAATTTAACTTCTTGGGGCACCTGGGTGGCTCAGTCGTTAACCGTCTGCCTTTGGGTTCAGGTCAAGATCCCTGGACCCTGGGACCGAGTCCCGCATCGGGCTCCCTGCTCAGCGGGAAGCCTGCTTCTCCCTCTCTCACTTCCCCTGCTTGTGCTCCCTCTCTCGCTGTCTCTCTCTGTGTCAAATATATAACTAAAAAAAACTTAAAAAAAAAAAAGAAATTAACTTCTTAAAATATTTCAAAAAGAGCTTAGAGCATCTATGGAATTGATTTGAAAAAGTTTTGTATAACTGAATGGATCACTATCCTGTGAATATGACATTTTTTTTTTTTTTGAGAAAAGGTAGTAGGGCAAAACCCGAAAGAAATCAAGAAAACCCGCTGCGTATCTACAAATAGCCACCCCCAAAAGGACTAAGAGGAAAATAAGATCTTGGTAACCAAGAGAGAGCCAAGGTAATGTCAAAGAACTGCTCAAACAAATTTAGGATTCATTGTTTGGATGATGCAATTATTCATCACAGTTACAATTATTAATAACCAATCTAACTAATTTCATTGCACGCTATTATACCGTGACTCTCCTGGTTACCTTAAGATTGAAGAAATGTCATCTGCGTGTGAAGCTGTTCTGGCCTGCCTGTTGTCCCTGTTAAATGGAAGCCCGAGATTCATCCTGAGTATCTTCCGAGTGTGAAAACATAGCATGTGTAAATTTAATTCATCCTAAAATGTCAATGTTTTCCCCACAATGAGAATTTCAGCAGTGTCTTCCTAGTATGTAACTGTGTCTTATCACTCCAGTACATTCAGAATTTGTATTAATTCTGACGGGAATTGAAACTAAAGTCTATATTTTCTGTTTACTCATCATGGGAGCCTCCTTCCAGACATGGTGCAAACTGATAAACAACCAAAATTTAAAAATAGACAAAAGCATTTTTAAAGCATGCATTTACACTGCTAGAGGCGTTTGCCTCCCCTCCCCCACCCCACCATGGCTCTGAAGTTTGATCCCTGCTATATGCCTGTGTCTGGATAACAATGAGCTCGCCAGAAAGAGGAGTCACATCATTGCAGTAAGAGTAGCTGGTTGATATCCTTACATATTTATTAAAACAAGTTTCCTGAGAAGTTCGACTCGACAACATTATTAACCTGGTTTGCTTAAAATGTACAAAAATGCAGTGAAACTTACATATCTTTAAAATATCCCCAAGTCAGATTTTGTTCTGATTGGCTACCCAATTAAGGGAAAATTAATTAGCTGTTTATAGACAATAATCTCTGAAACATAAAATTAACTTTGAGTTTAAAACAATTCTTAAAATTATCATAAATATATGACACCTATTGATTGAACAGTAATTAATAGATACAGGAGGCTAGGATTGACCCTTCACTGCTTTGGTTCCTCTATCTTGCTAGGAAAAAAAAAAAAACAACTTTAAAAAAAATGCTTGTATACTGTGCAATTACAGAAGTTAGTACATTTTTCAGAGATAAATTGAAAGGCATAGTGCTGAAGCTTGCTTCTGGAATTTGAAACGATTTTAAATACCAAATGAGAGTATTTTTATTGTATCGTAAAATATTGCTTCATCAAAATGAGATTCCAAGTCCTCTTATAGTTCTCTGAACTTCTAAAGTCACATTATTGGATGGTCTTGGACAAAATTGACAGGGCTCAGTGTTCCCCCCAAATCTTGGATGCTTAGAGAGAGAAAGAAGCAATCAGAGAGTCTTCTGAGAGTCAAAATGTTGAGAAGGAACAAAATTAACAAAATAGGCTGAAACGATGATTCAGAAAATGACAATTTTGGCATAAGTATCTGGGAGTCACTGTGGACCACAAGTTGAATATGAATGTACATAACAGAAGTGAAAACAAAAATACCGTATTAGGATGTACTAACGAGAATATGACAGATAAATCTGTTGAAATTATATACCACGAAGACTGTCTTTTGCCAAAGCTGTATGAAGTCTCAGGATAGCAGAATTAGCCGTGGTTAAACACAACCAGATCGTTTTCTTTCATTGTGTGGAAAGATCTCCCTAGCTTTGGAGCTCTGCCTTTAAAAGTATGGGCACAGTCCCGAAGGTGAGCATGACAGAGGGATTCCAAAAGGAGGGAGAGGGGCCGTTTTTGTTATGCATTAAGGCGGCCTTTCAAACGCAAGACCCCAAATTCAGCAGCAAATGTTTGGTGAACCTCATCTCCCCTCAGTTTATATGTAGAGAATAAAATAAATAAAGTTTTCATTCTTTACTTCTTTCCTAGAATAAAATATCAGGTGTGTAGAAGATCTGAGGACTCCCAACTTGCTAGATTGCTTTAAAGGAGAAAATTAGGGATTAAATGAGGAATGATTTTACGTGAATGGGAATGATAAGCAGACCCTACTGCACCACCGCTTCTTGTAAAGGGTGTCAACAAATATGGCGGAGAATGTCCTCTCCGATGGACTGATTGTGGCCTCCTGGAGAGCTTTGTAGAGGAGGACACGAGGCTTGTCCCAGCCTGATAGGAAAGTACACTGAGTGATATCTGCCACAGACACAAGTATTTCCTATTCCTATTCTGTTTGTTTCAAATGACCTTAAGGATCTCAAGAACAAAGAAGGTTGACAGCTGATCCCCCTGTGTACATGTCCTATTCACATACCATAGGCAAGGGAGGTGTGGTGAGAGCAAGAATGAGGTCTGGGGAAAATGTGAACCGACAGGTGATTTTAGCTGAGAAGGAAATCACTTTGCTCTCTCACTGAAGATTCCAATTCCTCAGAGAAGGTCCCAAAGGGTCCGGCCAACTCAGAGTCAAGGCACCAAACAGCATCAGGATGGCAGACTCTCTCCGTATGTCTTCTGGGCAGGTAGGTGAGCTTACCAAGCCCCTGGGATGATGTATACAGTGAACCACTCGCTTTGTTTTCTGTCTCTCCCATGATGTAACTTGCCTTGAGGAAAGTTCCTGCTGAACGCAGATGACCTATCAGACGACTTGACTAATCAGAGGAAATTATCCAGAGCTAATTCGGTAACAAGGTGACCCAGAAGGAAGCCATATATAAAACAGCTTCCTGATTTAAACTCCGAGGAGTGAAGTAGAAAGGTAAGACCTAGAGAGCATGGCCAGAGTGAGTACAGGCAGTGAGAGGCGGGTGGATGGGAGGGAAGAGGCCCTGATGAGAGGGGGATACCATGTGGTTCCTCCTCCCTCAGCAGCTAGCATGGACGGCAGCCAAGCTTCTTCCTAGTGCTGCTCAATTGTGCATTCTTCCAAGTACAGGTGATGCCATCATTAGGAAGAGTGGGCGTTGGAAGAAACAGCAAAGGTTCTTGTGTCTACGTTGATTTGAAATTAATTAAATTTGCATCCTCTTCATCCTCTGTTGGCAGGCTAGCAAGCTCCCTCTGGGGCGGCTTCTCTTGGAAAACATTAGCACCATTCAGTTTCAGGATTCATTGTCACTGCAAAAAAACAGAACAATCGTATATTTCCAAGAAGCTACCGAGAGCTGGTCACTCCACTACGGAGGTGACTCAAGAAAACATGAACAGTCAGAAAGCCAACAGTTTCCGGCTTACCATTTCTGAACCAAAGGTTGGTTTGGATTTTTGTATTTGATCCCTGAGGAGGAAATCCTTGAAAGCCAAGAAATAATCCCTTAGCTCTTGCTCTAATATCCTTCCCTAGTGCTGATATGGAGAGAACCAGATGGAGTTGGAGGTTCCCTCCCTTTAATTAAATCTAATCCCATTCTCTATGAATTGATGCCAATTTGCTTTTTCCCCCCCTTTTAAAAAAATTTCCATGTGTTGTTTTTTCTCAGGAGTTTGTGGTCCTGGCGTGTTTTCAAAAGCCCATTTTGTTCTTATCCACAAAGGTGCCTTCTCGATGTCATTTAGAATTCAATCATTAGGCATCTTGGGATGTGAGGAGACATAAATTATGGACATGGTATTCGGACATGACTGTGCCGGCCGGCTAATTTGTGCTTTTGTTTCTAGCTTGGCTATCCTGGCCTTGTATCTGGCTCCGCAGCTTTTCCCAGTGAGACCACGCCTCCACCCACCTCTCCTGGAAAGCAAGCCACTCTACCCCTCCAGCTTCTTGTTTCACTTTGCTGTCCCATCATTCAGATCCCAGAACATCCCTACTTGAAGTGACCTCTGTCTCCAAGAAAGTGCATGAATGATAATAGCCAACAGAACCTCGTATCTCCTTAGCTCACAGGCGTGGATAGTCTGCAACTGACTAGATTCATCTGACTCCTACTTCCAAGCTCTCCTGCTCAGGGAGACAGCATGTGTTTCCAAAAAGACTGAAGCAGTTTGATAGATAAATAGATTTATCCGTGGAAGGAGAGGGGAGGCATTGGGTGTATGGTTGTGTGTTTGTGTTTGTGTTGTAAAGACGGAGGGAAGAAGCTGTGATTAAGATGGGCAATCGATGGGAAAGGAGGAGGCAGACAGTTGTGAATAAAAGACAACTACCACAGCGAAACTTACCTGAAATGGAAAGCTGATGGAAAATTAAGACATTTTCCCCCCAAAGAGCAGATATAACCACGCTTCACTTTGGTGACCCTGAACCACTCTTCAGCTGGGCAAGGAGATTCCATTTCTTGGAAATTGGGCGGTAGCAGGTTATTATTTCTAAGATCTAGGAGTTCATCTCTATGCACATAAGTAAGTCTCTTTCCTTCTGTGGCCTTATCTTGAAATGCCAGTCACTCTAAGCAGAGTGTAGCACAAAGCCGGATAGCAATGGGCACAAGCCCTCTTTTGTCTATAGCACTGATCTGCACCCAGCAGTCCTAACAGAAGTGATTTTCTCAAGTGTTATAAAACCAATCCATAGTCTTTGCTGAAAAAAATAAATACAAATAAGCAAAACAAAAATACTAAGTCTTTCCACAGTTAACATCTTGGTGTGTACTCTCCCAAGCTTCCTTCCTTTGATAATGATATACATTCTTTATGTGCAAAAAGGGGATTAAAAAAGCGGGATCATATTATGCATTTCATGCTATAATCGGCATTTCTCACCATCATTCACATACAGACATCATTCCTTGCTAATAAATATACAGTATCTTTTTAGCGGCTACAGAGTCTTCAATTGTCTCACCAGACCAAAAAAGCATTTTTTAAACTGTATTCTTGAGATTAAATGTGTAGACTATTTCCGATTTTTAGTTTTTATTTAGTATAAAAAATCTTTGCACAGTTCCAATTGTTACTTTTGCATAAACATACCTAGGAGAGGAATTGCCAGGTTAAACTAATGCCATTTCTAAACTTGAATGGCCCATTGGCAAATTATCCCCTTCCCTAGACATTTTGCATGATTTACCTTCCTCTCCACACTTTCTTTAGGGAGATTTCCTTTCCCCACATCCTTTCCAATACTGGATATTATTGTTATTATTTTCTTAAAGATTTTATTTATTTATTTGACAGAGAGAGACACAGGGAGAGAGGGAATACAAGCAGGGGGAGTGGGAGAGGGAGAAGCAGGCTTCCCGCTGAGCAGGGAAGAGGGTATGTATGTGAGTGGGGGGAGGTGCAGATGGAAAGGGAGAGAGAGAATCTCTAGCAGACTCCCCGCTGAGCATGGAGCCCCCCGAGGGGCTCGGTCCCACAACCATGAGATCAAGATCTGAGCCAAAATCAAGAGTTGGACACTTAACCAATGGAGCCACCCAGGCGCCCAGACCACTATGCTTTTCTGATATGATTTTTGACCTGTGTGGCATGCCTTCAACCAATCCCCACCTTAAGTTATAATAATATATTTCTCTATTTTTTTTCTGGACTTTTTTTTTTTAACATTTAAGCTCATTTGGAGGCTATATTAATCCAAAGCATGAGAGAACTCTTAATTTTAATCATGACATTGTGAAGTCTTTCAGGAGTACAGTATGTCTCTATTTTTAAAAATCTTTTATGTCCCTCCATAAAACTGAACAGTTTCTTTTTACATTATGCCATCTATTTTTTGGTTAAGTTTATGCCTCGGTATTAAACATCTCCTGTTGCGTTTACAGCAGTACACATGCTAGTACGTGCTAACAGTGGCTCTTTTACAAAGTAGAAAAGAGCATAGGGTCAGGTGGCCAGAGCTTGAACCAGGGTCCAGCCACTTCCTTGCTGGGTGACCTTGGGCAAGTGCACTTTTCTTAGCCTTATTTTTCTGTTCTCCTCTCACCCGCAAAACATATATAATAATGCTATGCACTTCATAGCGTTGTTGCAAGGAATAAGTGAGGGGTGCCTGGGTGGGTCAGTCGATTAAGCTTCTGCCTTCAGCTCAAGTCATGATCCCACGGTCCCAGGACCGAGTCCCGCATCGGGCTCCCTGTTCAGCAGAGAGCCCACCTCTACCTCTCCCTGCCACTCCCTGCTTGTGCTCTCTCTCTCTCTCTCTCTCTGCCAAATAAATAAATAAAATCTTAAAAGAAGAAGAAGAAGAGAGCAAATCTCAGGAAGTCACTGCTCTACCGGCCTGACCTACAAACGTGTGAACATGTATTATTCTTATTTTGCAGAGTCTACGTTAACAAATGTTTGTTGGTTCAACATAAGCTTCAACACTGCTTCCAACATCCAAAGGCTTTAAGAAACCATCTTCCAAAAACAAACTTCCCATTTCTGAGGAGAATGTACTTCCGTGGGGTTTGTTGAGAACACCCTGTGAGCATTTTGAAGGTGTAACCTGTGACACTGTCCACCAAGCAGAACTTGTTTCCTGCGAGCACCAAGAGCCCGGGAGCCCACACGTGGCACCCTGCTCAGCTGCGTGGTCTGTGAGTGGTGTGACGGGTCCTGCCACACAAGACGCTCTCAAAGCCGACACCCGCTGCCTCAGGGGCATCAGGTCATGCCTAGTGTCCAACACTTACAGGCCTGTGTTCACCGGAGGGGTGCGGGCCTGGGAGGAAGTCGGCACCCTGGGGTCAGGCCCACCACCCGGGCCTGGAGATATTCTCTCTCTCTCGTTCCTTCCTTTATCTAGTTAGTGTGATCCCTGCTGTCCTCAGCAGCCGTTTATCATCTCCAGGAAACCATGAAGGAAGGCCGGGCGTTTTTAACGCTGGCAAACCCTCGAGTTCCCTGTCAAAAATACCTTGGCAAACCGCCACACGATTGCAACAAATAAAGTCAGGGATCCTGCCTCAAACCTCTGTTGCTTGCCTCAGTGTTAATTCTGGCAGCTTGTCAACGACAGTGGCAATCGTGAGTAATTTTTTCTCGGAGTGTTACATAGATATTTTAAGAATGTGGGACAGCTTCCCCAACAGCCTTTATAGTAACAGGCCTACTACTAACTGTAAAAACAAATTGAACTATGACAAAGCCTCATCTTACGATTTGTAAGAAAGCATTTAATTGGAGCGCTCACAGTGAAATGAGGACAGAGTCGGCTCTGAACACCTTGTTTCCTAACCGCCCCTGGGTCGTCGGCGGGAGCAGATCAGCCATCTTGGTTCTCCTGACCAGTATCTCCTGACCAGCTCCCTCCATAGGACCACGGCCGATGTTCCCTGGCTCCAAAGATGGCATTAAACCTTTCTCATGTTAGGATGCTCCCAAACTTGGTTTGGGGGCAGTGCAGAGCTCAGTATGGCATAAAGTCACCTAACAATTAGATCATGCTCCCTTTCTCTTCTCCAATATACCCTCCCTTCTCCTTCCCGAAAGAGGCCAGCACGGGACAGGGGGTAGGGATTGGAGGTGTAGGGATGGGGTTGGGGGTGTTTATACAGGTCACACATCTGGCTAACATCACAGCCAGGCCTAAATTCATCCAACACACATAGATCATGCCTGCAGCTGACACAGTCTGGGCCACTCTTCAAGTAATGCTGTGGTTTATTAAATTTAATACATCTTCTCTCCCACAACACGCACGTCAGGCACGCACATGCACACACGTACAACACCTGCATTTAACGGTGTTATTTGAGGTTATCATCCTGCGGGATTATAAGCGGTTACTCTGTGCCCTCTGATGTTACTTTTTATCCCTCATAAGACATCCCTCAGATTTGAGGAAAACCAGCTGCCACTTAAACATACTTCCTATTGAATACTTGTTGAGTTTTAAAGGACTTTTGAGAAACTAGAAAGGAAGAAAGGAAAGAAACTCACGAAGAAAATAACTAGAAGTGGCCACTGAGATATACTTGAGTGGAGAAGCCAAAACAGTTCACCAAAATTGCTCTTTTCTCACTATTAATGGTTCAGTCTTGTCAATGACTGTACGAGATGATGGCTACGCCACCCACCAAATACTGTCAGGTATTAATAACTTCATGGTGGCTGTCTTTCTTACTGCTGAATGTCCCTCCTATTTTTTCATCTCTAATTTGTCTTTCAATATGTGGAATGTCTCTTATCTTAACCAGTTAATAAATGTAAATGAAAATGTAGTTTTAAAAGACACATTGAGTTTTATCATAAACTTGCTGTGTAAATTGGACAAATCACTTAACCTCTCTGATTCCAGGTTTACTCATACAGATTATTTTATTCTAACTGGTTGAACTGGCATGATGCAGACCATGCCAGGCACATACTAGGTGTTCAGCAAATATATTTTGTAAAACTACATCAACAATCATACTTCCCCCCCCCCCAAAAAAAAAGACAAAGAGAAGAGCAGAAACAGGAAGAAATTCACAAAATTCTTTATTAAACTAACCTGGATTTTCCCAAGAAATATTGAAGCGATCCATTTTTATGTCACTGAGCTCAGACATGAATCATAAAATAAACAGTAGAATCATTACAAAATCGGAACAGGTATGCTGTTATTTACCCTCTCTGACTAGCTAACTTCCTAGGTGGTAGTACCTAGGCTTCTGGTATGTATAAAATGCTGTATAAATATTTTCTTGTTTTTTTGTTATTAATGTGCCTTCAAAATTCTAAATCCACTTGGAAGGAACCAAATCAATTTTCCCCCTAGTCTTTCCCAATGCTATTACTCAATATGAACTCATCACTGTGGCCAATTGGCATAAAGGGAAAGAAGATGGACAAGTGGCTAATATTTGTGTTTCCTTTTCTGTGGTTATTCACCTAAGCTTGCCAAGACAGAAACGCTTGCAGGAAATTGTCTGATTCTAAAGGCCTCGGGAAGAAGGGACAGGATGGCTAGACCTTAAGCACTGTGATGAAAGGAATTCTATCCTTCATGTGGTTACAACTATCTAGTGACATTTAAGAAGATGCTGGGAGGTTTAAGAGTAGACAATAAGGCAGTGCATTCTTTACAGAGAATTTAAACAGTAATAAAACCAACTCAATATATCTGCTTTCTGTTATCATTGAGTGCTGGAAAAGCTGAACAATGCTACTGATGGAATTCTCTTCAGCTCCAGGCAGACCTCTCCCACTGCCCCACTGTACTCCCTAGACACTATTCCACTGACGCTATTCCCACTACTCCCACAATGCTTCACACATAATAGGTAAGAATTAGGGGAGAAATGCTAAGGTAGGAAATAACAACATAAAACTCCCCCTCCTCCACAAGTCCTTTTTATCTTATTGATTTTCTAAAGACATGAAAACCCTAGTGTAAACTTCCCAGAGTGCTTCCTATGTCTCTGGCCCTTATGAAAGTCCTGTGCTAAATGTTAGATTCCACAGCGTCAGAGAAAACGTCCATTTCATGAGGACAGGGCAAGGTAATGAACAATGGCTGGCCAATGGGATATGTGGGAAAAGAACTGAAAGACCTGAGACTAAGGACCCTAATGAAAAGTCTTCACACCCCGTGTGGTGCGTTAAGGGTAGCATGGTGACCAGGTGGACTCCTTTTTTTAGAAGCACATGGACTTTATATATAATGGAGGTTCTGTGTCAGAGGGTATTTCTAGCATCAAGAAGGATTGAACACTTCAAATGGGTTCTGGGAGTCTTAATGCAGTAAGAGGAGGGAGACACGTGTTTTCTACTAAACTCACTCTCCAGTGAGTACTTTCTGAAGCATTGTGGTCTACAGCACGCTGCCTGAATGGGAGAGGAAGGATGAGTCTCACAGGGAAAAGCCAGTGGGGAACTTTGGGGGCAATGATGTGTCAAAGTACATTAGCCAATTGTGACCAGTGTACCCCTCTGCTATGGAGCATCAATAGTCAGGGAGGTAGTGCAGAGTATGTGGGAACCCTCTGTCATTTCTGCTCATTTTGCTGTACACCTGAAACTGCTCTAAAATAGCAAGTTTTTTTTGTTGTTGTTTTTTTTTTTTAAATGCCCAACCACAGATATGGATGTGCCTGGCCCCTTGGACACAGTCTCCTTAGCGCATAAGGCAGTGAATTTATGTATATCAAATTTAAGTTAATAATAATAATACCAGGGATGGGGGTGCCTGGGTGGCTCAGTGGGTTAAAGCCTCTGCCTTCAGCTCAAGTCATGATCTCAGGGTCCTGGGATCAAGCCCCACATTGGGCTCTCTGCTCAGCGGGAAGCCTGCTTCCTCCTCTCTCTCTGTCTGCCTCTCTCTACTTGTGATTTCTGTCTGTCAAATAAATAAATAAAATCTTTAAAAAAAAAATAATACCAGGGATGCCTGGGTGGCTCAGTGGGTTAAGCGTCTGCCTTGGGCTCAGGTCATGATCTCAGGGTCCTGGGATTGAGTCCCATGCCAGGCTCCTGCTCAGCAGGGAGCCTACATTCCCCCCCACCCCCCAGACTGCCACTCCCCCTGCTCAGGCTCACACATGCACGTGCTCTCTCTCAGACAAATAAATGAATAAAATCTTTAAAAACAATAATAATACCGGTACTTATTGAGAGTTTATTTTGTGGCAGGGTTTGTTCTAAGTGCCTTGTATCTTTCCAAGTTTTTAGTAACTAACAATTAGATTTGCTTTATAATCTTGTACTGCTCTTTGAGTAATCAGAAAGCACCTATATACCAAAGCCTAGGGACGCACCACTGTTGTTCCCACACGCCAGTGCTGGCTTCCCCGAGAGGGAACGAGGTGAAGCCAGGCTGTTGTCCTATGAATTGAAACCAGATAGTTCTGGACCAATGGAGGAATGCAGACATACACCTTGAAAACCATAGTTTAGCATAAAGCAGCCCTCCAAATAGCTTAAGGCTTTTTGTCATACAGGCAGAAACGAGCTCAAGTTTATTCCCAGGACCAACCTTTCAATATTTCAGAAACGTGATTTCTAAGATGCTTTCACAACCCTATAATACTCTAACATTCCGTTTCTTCTATGTTGCCAACAATTTCAAAGATCAAGAGGCAGGTACCTAAAAACCACTGATGTTTTGCATCATGTGAGGGTGCCCGTCAGAGATACAGTAACAAGATATTTATAGGGTTTTGGTGGTGATGTGGGTGAGCCCCACACGAAACATACACAGTGACTCATTTTTAGGTAAGATTAAAATGTGGGGAAAACACTCTTTTGTAATTTCCTTTGTGATATTCCCCTAGCATTTTCTTTTCTCTCCTCTGCTTGTTAATGTCTGGCATCTCATTTAAACAGGATAGGCTCTTTTCTGAGCCAGTGACAAATTTTTAACATACAGATACCTGGAGAGGTAATAATGACTGAAATATTCAATAGGAAGTGGATTTCCTTGTCAAAGCTGAGGTGTGCCTCAGTAAGAATGTGAGGGCCTGATGTGTGACATGGGGGGAGTGACCACGTCTCAGACGGGGTTGAGGGAAAGGTGCAGAAGAAGGGTCCAGAAGACAAGCATCTGACTGCCCCAATCACTATCAACAACCAGTCTTCCCTTGTGATGCTCCAGCCTCAGGGACTGCCCAGTGACAAGTGACTGCATTCTGGAAGCATTTAAGATGACAAGAACAGGACCTTTGGTTAACATGAAGGGAGAGGAGACTGGTGGTGTTTATCCTGCTCGAAAGTTTCTTCTATTTAGTCCCACAGAAGCATGAAGTCCCAGTCACAGGCTGTCACATTCTCTGCTCGCTGATCACCTCTGAGTCACCCCTACCAACAACTTGCTGCCCCCCAAATCACAGTGGTGCAATGTGGGATAAGGGACCGAGCTGCTGCGTCATCAATCCTTCCTACTGCGACACTTCTCACGTCCCGAATAACAATTCTCTGATCAAAAAGACCTCAAACATGGTCATTCCATCCTCCCAAAAGATAACAGTTAAACACCATTAAGGGGTGCTGAACACCACCAGAGTCCTAGAGGCCAAAATCTTCTATCAAGCAGAGCCACCTAGTGGTAGGATAGAATATGTTTATTAAATTCTCATTTAATTTCTCTCCTGTAACAAACGACCCAATCCAGGTGGGGTTTTGTTTTGCCTTGTTTTTTTATATGTCCATTTTGCTCACTTTTATGTACAGTTATTCCCTTTAAGATGGCCACTTCCATCTGTTTTCCTTACCAAACATCTCTTCATCCAAGCTAAACAAGCCTATAGTTTGTTATAATCACAAAGTTTTATGACTAAAATGGAAGCCGACTCAACAGTGTCTCTTTCGAAGGGCAAGAAAATGCCAGCGCTAATTTGCTTCTGAAGATGGAGCCACTAGGATGTTTACTTTGCATTTTCCTATTTGCCATAACTCACACTTTCTTTTCTCCATATGACACACACGTATATCCATGTAAATCGTCACATGAAATTTACAGGCAAAGAGACGGTAAGGAAAAGGTCTCACCCATAGTCTCCCATCCCCACCCCCATAGACCTCTCATCAATAGTGGAAACTAGAAGTACCTTGGGTTGTGGTTTGATTCCTTCTCTTCCTTTAAAGTAGGTAAACATTCACAGTCAGCTAGGACAGAAAAAAAAAAAAAAACAACAAACCCATTATTAGTCACCAAAATTCTGTCTTCTAGCCACAAAACTCATATATTTGAGCATCACATTTCCCTGATCTGTACAGTTCCTTGTGCAGAAATGGCCTCACTAGGGACTTCCAGAGGTTAAAAGATTAATGATGGCAAGGCTCCTGAAATGGAAAAAGCATTAGTAGCACAGATACAAGACTTCAACATGCCTCTGGCCTGGTTGGAAAGGGCACAACTCATCACCGCTTGCTTATTCAGTCCCTGAAGAACCCCACTGTGGCTCCAAGAGCTAGAATTTGCATGTTTCAGGTTAGACACTGGAATAAAATAGCTTTACCAGAGGTCCTGATGTGCCTGCAGAATGATTTCAGTCAAGGTGCCCAATCGAAAAGCCACAGGTAAACTGAGGAATGACTAACCTTCTTAAAGCCATCAGAGCTCTCTCCTATTATGCCACAGTTACTTTTAAGGAAAAACAAAATCCACCCCTCCATCATGCATGTGTCAAAATAACGCTCTGCTGTGGTGGTGAAATAGAAGTGCTTTTTTCCAGGTTTCTGGTTTAGTGAGTGTGCTAGGATCCTGATTTTGTATTACAATGATCTCAGGCACAAAAGGAAATAAGCAAGGTTATCTTTGGATAGTATGTATTTTTTTCTCCTTTCTACTTTTTTTTTTTGCATTTTCCATATTATATTATATATGCATATTTTATAAACTAAAAATAACAAAATGAAACTACCTTCAAGATTATCTCTGTGACCCGCTCCTATCCGTAAATGCCCTATGGAGCCATTCTTTCCTCAATATTGGGCTATGAAAAACAGTTCTGCTCAAAACTGTACAAGTTCCTGAAGGGTTCTAATCTTTTGGAAAGTTTTATGTTGATAAAGCCTCTGGTACAATCATTCTAATGACAGGTCTCTGGAATTGGACTTCACTGTTGTTGAACATGATAGATCCCAGGGTTTTTTTAAAAGATGAGTGCTAAAAATACGAATGATATGGTAAAATAAATCATGGATTTATTCATTTAATTGGAGCATTAAAAACAATTTATTGATTGGGGGCGCCTGGGTGGCTCAGTCGTTAAGTGTCTTCCGTTCAGGTCATGATCTCAGGGTCTTGGGATCGATCCAGTATCGGGCTCCATGCTCAGTAGGAAGCCTCCTTCTCCCTCTCCCACTCCCCCTGCTTGTGTTTCCTCTCTTGCTGTGTCTCTCTCTGCCAAATAAATACATAAATAATCCTTAAATTTAAAAAAATTATTGACTTTCTAAAGGAAATTTAAAGAGGAAAGAACAGCTACCATCATTTTTAAATCCAAATATTAATTTAAGGAAAAGTAAGGAACACATACAATTACTGCCAGATATCAACTGGGAAATAAGTTAAGGAGAATATTTGTAATACCACTATATTAGCGTTGTCCCATAGAACTTGCTTCAGTGGTGGAAATGTTCTAGATTTGCGCTGTATAATATAGTAGTTACAAGCCACAAGTGGCTACCACACACTCAAAACATGGCTAGAGTGATGGAAGAACAAAATTTTTAACTTTCTTTCATTTTTTAAAATTTTAATTTAAATGGTCACATATGGCTGGCATCTGTTGTACTGGACAGCACTGATCTATGTAAACTATATGTGGTAAAGTTTTATAACCATATGCAGATTAAAATCATAGATCTCTAAATTCTACAGTCAGATGCTGACTTTTTCCAGATAATTTGGACCTGGAGAGTTCCTCTCTTGAAAAATAAAAAAAATACCATTTGCTTCTTTAAAGAGGTCATTTGAAAAGCTCGCACAAAAATAAAAACAAATGGCACCAAGTGATGCCGCCTTCAAGGATGGTCAGACCCGGGTTCATGATCTCCTTGTTCCAGATCTAACATGGATCGGGCTCACACCGTCACACTCCAGGATTTACGGGTATTTCTAAAACCCCGCAGCCTTCTCAGACTAGAGAAGACAGAAAAAGCAACTTTAGGTGACCATACCATTTTTTTTTTTAAGATTTTATTTATTCACTTGACAGACAAAGATCACAAGTAGGCAGAGAGGCAGGCAGAGAGAGAGGGAGGAAGCAGGCTCCCTGCCGAGCAGAGAGCCCGACGCGGGGCTCGATCCCAGGACCCTGAGACCATGACCTGAGCCGAAGGCAGAGGCTTAACCCACTGAACCACCCAGGCGCCCCGGTGACCATACCATTTTTATTCATGCTGTTCATCCACTTGTCAAGCTCTTCCATCTCGATTTCCATAACAGAGGGTGTGTCCTCCTCAAAAATGGGGCTAAAGGGAAGCAAAAACCGTGTTGGAACCCAAAGAAGCGTGGGGTGATCTTTTCCTTTTGGGAGAGCCTGGAACGTTGTGTGGGGGAAAGGTGAACTTGATCTCATGAGTGACACTCCAGGGCAGATGGGGGGAGGGTGGGGTATGCCCTCTTCACCATACCAAACTCTAAAAGGAATAAAGGCTAGAACTAAAACAAACCTTCCTCTATCACCGATCCAAAGTCGGAGGGCACAGAGGGAGCTCAAAGGGAGCCCAGGAGACTCTGACCGCCCCCTAGAAGGTACAAAGTTGTGCCAGCCTTCCATCATGACGAGCCTCAGGGGAGTTGCCCTGTTGAGCATTTTTGCCTTGCTTAATTTCACTTCCCTTTCTTTGAGGTTTCTGATCTGTGCCCCAGGTCAAGGGGCCACTGTGAACAGGCTGTTTTCCTCACCTCTCCTTTCAATTCCCAGGCTTTTCTGTCATGGAGAAATAGAGCCCTTGCTTTCAGAAACCCACCAGACCTCACTTACCAGGGCTCCGAATCCACAATTATGGGAAAGAAGTCATTGTTAATGTAAATGGTATTGGGAGGAGGACCACCAGCTCTGAACCGCAGCATGGGCGTGACACCATGTGGAGGAAGTGAGCAAAGTGTCTAAAGAAGCCGGGTTGCTGGCCCGGGAAGCGGGGGTGGGGGCGGGGGTGGTGACAGGGTCCCAGAACACTCTTCTAGTGGAATCTTGCTCTCTCTCTCCCTCTCCTCCTTACCCTCTTTCTCCCCTTTCCCTCCCTCCCTCTCCCTCTCTCTGTCTCTCACTCTGTCCCCCCACTCCCTGCTCCATCCTTCTTTCCTCTCCCCCACCAGTCCCCTTCTCCCTCCAACCCAATGTGGTTCTGCCACATGAACTTTAGGCTTTTACCAGGGCTTTCCTCTTTTAATACCAGGGAACCTATCTTTCCTAGTGATAAAATGTTTAACCAGAATAAACGAACTGATGTCCTTGAAATACACCCAGTATCAGAGTATTGAACTACAATGCATTTGGAACTGTTAGCAGTCAAAAGAGATTTTTTTTCTGAAGAGGACCTTGTTCTTTGCCCAGATTCCTGAATTGGGGTTGGAGGACTAGTGTGCACCCCCCTCCCCTAGTAGGCTGCTCAGGGCCCTCTCCTGGAGTCCAGGAAATAAGAGACCCTCAAGGATCCCTCAAGGGTGTCTGAACAAAAACTCCTAAAAAGGCAGATGGCTCTCTAATCTGCTCCTCTCCCTGATATCCCTGTCCTCACTGAGCTGGGTCACAGGCAACGAGGACTTACACTTTGATATTTTCACTTCCCAGTTCACCTAAAGAGAAGAAAATACAAAGGTCATGTTAGCTTTCACTGTCCGTAACAACTTTTTATTTCAACCACAGCTGAAAACTCCTTTACGAAGATAAGAGATGACTTCAAATAGCATTTTTAAAGGAGCAATAGTTAGCCTGAGTCAGACATGCGCCATATTGAAACGAAGTCCTCATCCATATAAAATCTGTTTGTTTTTTTTAAGATAAGATGGTCCTCTGAGAGTGTTTACCTCAAATCAGAAGTTTATCCCTTTTTATTTTTTTAATCCATATAAAGAAGAAAACAGTGCGAGGGAAGGCATGTAGGAATGAGACAAGAGGGATGGCTCCTTGGTCCCCTGCCCCAAAATGTCCCATTCAAAACATCACTGTTGGGGCACATGGGTGGCTCAGCAGGCTAAAGCCTCTGCCTTCAGCTCAGGTCATGATCCTGGGGTCCTGGGATCGAGGCCCGCATCGGGCTCTCTGCTCGGCGGGAGTCTGCTTCTCCCTCTCCCTCTGCCTGCCTCTCTGCCTACTTGTGATCTCTCCTCTGTCAAATAAGTAAATAAAATCTTTAAAAAAAAAAATCACTGTTGCATCTCTCCTTGTGACACATCAAGCCCAACACCGTGACTGTCCCTTTGTCCCGGAGCAGGCTGTGGTAACCTCCGTCAAGGGCTCCCCTCGAACTCTGCTCTCACCCCTGCTGCTTGCTTGGCTGGACTCTTCACTCCCCTTCTGGTCTCAGTTTATACTGTCTCCTCAAGGAGCACCCTATATCTGAAGGAGGGCCCACCTTCCCGTTGCTCCCCAGCCCAGCACCTTTCTTACTCCTTTATAGCGTTTGACCCAATTTGTCGCTGATCAATTCATCAGCTTAATTTTGTCTGTGTCTCTGGCTAAAACATAGCTCCAGAAGGACAGAGATCATGCCGCTCTTGTTCGCCCTGATGTCCCCTCACCTTCCATCCAGCTAACACAGTAGCCGGCAAACACCCGGTAAATGGGTATTGAATAAATGAGAAGGTCTTAATGTCGATGGTCCAGCACAGATTAAATTCATGTCCAATGCTTCAGACTTCCGTAATGCTATAAAAGTGCAGCTTTGAGCAAACCAGCTTTGTGTTGCTGCGGGCGACGTGAGAACCGGGTAACAGGACATCAAATGCCCATCGGGCTCCACATGAACGTGCAGCAAGAAGCAGACCCCGGGGCCCTGGTTCCAGCTCTGTTTTGCTTGGCCGGGAAACGGATGCCTCCAGAGAAACGAGGCAGTGATGACACGTGACTGGAGAGCATAGGCCCCCAGCACCTTCTATGATGTGAAACCATGGAGAAGCAAACCACTTTGCAGAGGTTCCCCCGAACAGTCAGATGTTCCCGATCCTCGAAAGTCAGGGGTCTCTTTTGGCCAGGCCTGCAGAAACGCAGATCCCCATCGAGGAAACGCAGCCGGCAGGCACCTGGAGCCACGCTCCTGGAAGCTGGGAGCCGGTGTCATTCCCTGGGGTTGGCAAGCTTCCATGGTGTTGCTGATCCAGGAAAGCTAGGCACAGATGGAAGTTTCGTGCCATGACTGCCTACCTTCCAGGGCCTCTGGGTTATGCCTTTCTGGCCCTGGTAGGAACCGGAAGCTCTCTGCAGATGCCTGATCCTCAGACACTTGGACTGGGGAGAGGGGAGTATATGCATCTTGCATTTTTTATGTATTTTTAAAATCTCAAATTGACATGCTATTTCCTTAAGGGATTTTACCACACAATTGAGCCTCTCCTACAGGTGACCCATAGGATCCCTCCCTCTGTTGTGTCACTTCCCCCCTTTCCCTCCCTCTCCTTTCCTGCTTAGTAACAAGCCCAACCCCCAAACATACTCTAATTTCTCAGAGAGCAAGTGGCCCCACAGCCCCACCATGGAAGGCAGGGTTTTATCTTTATAATTTGAGCGCCTGCAGGCTTTGTGGCAAGTGAAAGCCAACCCTGCATGCAGACGACAGAAAAGTTTAAAAACCCATTACAAAAGTGCTCCAGACGCACTAAACACGAGGCTCCTGTAATCAGTATTCAAACAGAGCAGAGAGCCTTCTGTGGCCTCCTCTCCCCTGCTCTGAGACCATTACCCCTGGCCCAGCCGCCATGGCAACAGAAAAACATCTGGGAGAGCTCACCGGTGCGGAGCATTAAGCCAGGAGGGAGACCAATTACATGTCCCCAGCAATCAGGCGCTGCCCGCACCACTCCACCTGGCCTCTATGTCTTTATTAATAGCCATCTACTCCCTTTGCAACCGGAGGGCAAATGCACCTCTTACACAACCTCCATCTGCTCTTAATTCCATCTTTCCTCCTACAGCTCTTCCATTCCATACCCTCCTTCCCACTTTGTCCTCCCCCTCCAGTTCCCAGTTACTCCCACTTAGCCACCCACGCCCCACGGTCAGTCACTCTCTTCTGTGCACCTCTGGTGGTGGGATTGCTGGGCTGGCGGGGCAGGGGGGAGGCCTTCGCAGTGGGGGCCAGAGCCCCATAAGAGACTGACTTGCTTAAGCTTTTTTCCCACTCGGAACCCTCAGCAAGAGAGAGAGTGTCTTTCTGGAGATATACTGAGCCGTGCCAGGTGCCAAGACGTCACAGCCTGCCTAAAGTGAGGCTTTCCTGCCAGCTGTTTTCCCTGCAGCTCTCGTAGAGACACAACCCATGGAGACCCTTAATAAATGTTAAATAAGAACAACTGCAAATGTAACTCCTGGAGGTCTAGGAAGGACAGTAGAACAGAGTTACCGCCCAGCACTTTCCTTCTCCTGGACTTGAAATGGACAAGCCCAAAGGAAGAATGTGATTGCCAGTCGGAAGAAGGGTTCTTGCTACAGGTGTTGGCCAGGTCCTCCCCTGTCATCAAATGTACAGGCTTACTTCCTGGTGATGAAGAACACACCAGGCTCTATTCACTTGGGGGAGGGCGGGGAACAAATGTGTCTATTTCTAAATTGCTGAGGGGACGTCATCCATGCCCTCCCACAAAACATTGTTTTAGATGCTTTCCAAGCAAAATGCTGGTCTGACCCAGCGAGACAGTTTTATTTCTCCTGGGAAAAAAAAATATTTAAATCAGATTTTGTTAATTTGAACTGTCTCCTTTTATCTATTTTTTAGAGAGCTGGGGAGGGGGTGCAGAGGAAGAGGGAGAGAGAATCTTAAGCAGATGCCCTGCTGAACATGGAGCCTGACATGGGGCTCGATCTCAGAACCCTAAGAGCATGACCTGAGCCAAAAATCAAGAATCTGACACTTAACCAACTTCACCCAGGCGCCTCTCTCTTTTAATTGACTTGCATTATAACATTAAATATGGACTTCAGCAGACAGGAGTGATCAACTTTCCAGCATTTAGTTTGTTTGAAGAGATACCCATTTGTTAAGCAGTGAACCATCCATATCTATAGTAAAGGAAATATTCAAATAAAGCTCTATCAAAACTTGTGATAAGCAATTGTTTTGAAAACTTAAGATGTCTGTGTTGTTTCTCTTAAAGTGAGGTATATTTAAAACAAAAAGTATGTGCCAATTTGTATCAAGAATAAGTTTCAAGTTTCTCTTTATCTCTGGGAATAGGTAGATGCTCTTCTAAAAAAAAAAAAAGTGCTAACACAGTTTCATGAACTCGCTCTTTCAACCACAATTATCGGGCCACTGATATATGTGGTGGGCTACACACTGTGTCAGGTTGAAGGGGCAGTAATCATAAGAAGCAGCAGCTAACACAACATGCCAGCTACTCTTTTTCCTAAGTGGTTTACATAGATGAATCCATTTACTTCTCACGACGGCTCTGTAAGCCCAGTGTTGGATTTGCCCATTTCACAGATGAGGAAACTGAATCAGAGAAGTCATAGGGCTAGGAAAAAAAGCCACCCAGGCAGTGTGGTTCCAGAGTCCACACTCTAACCTCCAAACCACACCATTAAACAAGATAAACAAGGCAAGTCCTTGGTTCTTTTGGTCCTAAAGAGAACATAACCTAGTAAGAGAGACCAAAAAGAAAAAAAAAAGACAAGTCACCAACTTATGCCAACATAAATACTGTGCACCGTAAGTGAGAACACAGTCTGTAAGAGCTGAGAAGAGGCCATGATTCATTCATTTTGCCCAGGGAGTGATTACTCAAGGCTTCATAAAAACTTCAGAACTGGGCACGGAAGAAGAAGGTGGCAGGTTGCCAAGCAGACAAGAAGGAAATCCCAAACAGGCGAGTAGTGTCAACCAGTCATGTAAGAAAACATCGTGAACGTGTAAGCCAGGCTCTGGGAGCAGCAAATACTTGGGAGTGTGGCTCCAGTACAGGGTGCATGAGCCCTCTGAGAAGGAGGCCAGTTCTTGATGGCAAATGGCTTTTGAACTTGGAGATGCTCACAGTGAAGTTCCATGAAAAATCCCTTTCTGTATTTAGAGCCTGAAAGCATGCACATTTGAACGGACACCCCCATCCTGCCCCCCAAGCCCCATGACATCGTTAGATAAGATGGGCTACTGGGCTGCGGTTTAGGCAGGAAGTTCTCACTGTCCCTGAGGTTAAAAAAAATGGGGTTCAAGCAGCTCTGTTTGCTTTACCTTTTTCTTTAGCTTACAAAGGAGCTCCCATGTGACCACTGTTACTAGGTCACCCTAGTGGAGAAACGTGTTTCTCAAGCAGTGGAGCAGTGGAGAAACATGTGTTTTTTTTGACTCCCTTGGAATCTATGATATTGGCTCCTGCCAAGAAAGCTAACGCACATCAGTGCTCCTTCCCTAGCTCGCATTTACCATACCTTCTGGTATAATGGAAAATGACCATTTATAGCTCCTGCCGAGAGCTTAAAGGCTCTGCCGGTCAAGGACAGTGAGCCAGTCCCGGCAGGCCAAGGGCACGATCTTAAAGCCAGAGGTGCCCTGTTAGTGAGTGTGAGGGATATTGAGTGAGTTTGTATATACATATCAATATATAGCTCATTAGTGATGGTCTCATTCTTGAGTGATTTTTGGAATAACCAAAGGCTTCAACTTTAAGTCATTTTTACCAGTACAAGCCAAAAGTACTCAAGTCTGCTCTGGACTTAGAAAACCCTGACACCTAGTATTTGTTGCTCCTAGATTTGGAATTGAATACACACAGAGAGAACTCTGACCTAGGGAATTCTCCATCAGATTGGTTTCAGACTGATGCTGGTAATCTTCATCCTACTAGGAATCTCATACGAAAGTTAGCATAGCTTTAATGAGAATAAGAACCATGCTTACTAGGGTCTTTTCATAATCAGATTGGGATGGGGCATGGAGAAGAAAACAGTATCTTCAACAGAAATATACAGAATATATCATATATAATACACAGAATATATGACAGAAGAATCCTCTTCCGGTGGAGACGAGCCCAGGGTATCAACCTTCCCTTCCCCAATCCCAAGCTGACCTACTGCTTCGCCATTTTGAATGTTTCCTCCAATTTAGGGAAAGCTGCATGGACCTCTTGGCCAATATTAGATAAGGCCCTCATCTGGATTAAGTACAGAGATGGCAGCTGTGTGTTTTAAATCTCGATTTAGGCCGAAGCCATTCCCTTTTTGAAAAATAAGGGAATAGTCATCATTTACTATTTTATGTAGTCTTGGTTGTTCAACTTTAAAACCTCTCCCTTCTTTTTCCTCCCCCACTCCCCACTCCAGACAGCGTTAGGATCCTACTCACATGTCTGTAAGGCACTCTGAGATCCTCGGCTAGAAGTTTCTGTGGAGAAGAAACAAAAAAATATTTTGTTTTACGGATGGTTTGTTAACACGTGAAGCAATTGTCCAGAAATGGGAACATACAAAATATTTACCTTGTTTGGCTTTTTTTCTTTTATAGCGTATTATAAGGATTATCACTGATAAAAATAGGAGAGCAAATAAAACCAGTGGGATCAACACCATTAATACAAACTCTAACTGATTCTCATCCTCGTCAAAGTCGCTGAAACTTGAATTTGCAGTGAGTGCTCCTGTGGTCACTGTATCAAATGTATTTTGTATATTAGAATCTTCATATCTTCTTTCCTCTTCCAGGGACATATCTGCTGACTGTTCTGTTTCCTCAAAAAAATCTGTAGGGACACACACAAAATTGAGATTGCCATGGAGATAAAGCCACTATGTCATGTTTTCAATGATTTTTAAATACATCCTACACGCATCCCGTGGTAAACTTGGTCCCCTGCCTTTGATTTTCCAGTTCAGGGTGACTGAGTATCGATTAAACGTAAATGGAGCTCAGGCTGGGAGTATATTGAACACGGGATCAGAGCCCGGAGAGAAACCTTCCACAAATGCAGGCAGGTTAGCCTTGACCAGGTACGTTAGATAAGCTTGCACAAAGGCATTGAGAAGCTTTGTTGTGTCAAGGCTGATATTCCAGAACATCTCCTATAGGGGATTCATGCTATTTCAATAACATTTCTGGATGAACCTAAATTCGTATCTACTAGAAGTGAACTACTTTCCTTGCAACACTTATGTATAAAGGAATGCACACTGTCCCAATTTTCTTTGAAGATTTTATTTACTCATTTATTTATCTATTTATTTGAGAGAGTGTGATTGTGTGTGCCCTTGTGTGAGGAAGCGCAGGATCTGAGGAGGAGGGATGGAAGGAGATACAGAATCTGAAGCAGACTCCCCACTGAGCACAGAGCCCAATGTGGGGCTTGATCCTGCGACCCTGAGATCATGACCTGAGCCCAAACCAAGAGTCCAAGTCTCTGACACTTAACTGACTGAGCCACCCAGGTGTCCCAGACTGTCCTAATTTTTAATAAAAGGTTACCTATCAGTGTGGAAGAATTCTTAGAAACTGGGGTGACTGATTGGGTTTCAGTGTCCGTTCCCACATAGTGCAGAGTACTGAGTCTCTCTGGGATTATCTGACAGAAATTTTCCTGGGTTCTAAATAAAAACACAGCGTGTACTTCGTTTGTAAGGCGACGTTCTCAGGAGGAAGTTCCCTTAGGGATCTACTCCAATATTTAAATGTATTTCATAAAAAGCATTTTTAGAACTTTCCCTATTAAGAAACTTTAAGCAAGTTTATTCTGTTTGAATTTCCGATTGTGTGGAAAGCCATCCTGGGGCTCATCCCAGGGCAGGGAAGGACTATGAGCCTGACGATTATCTGACAAATCTCCCCTCACCTTGGCTATGTAGTGATCACAGTAAGGTAAGCAGAAGGTTTTCATCCTACCATAGCATAGCATTGCTTATCCTTCAAATGGGGCCCGCCAAGGAAGAGAGCATATGAGTTTGGGCCATAGAAAATTAATCCAATAAGGTGACGGATGGGAAAATTCTTTCTAAAGAGCAAGGTGCTGTGCAAATAGAAAAGTCAGTTGCTACAAGCCAAGCTCTCTACTCAGAGGTCAGTTCGCCCTGCGGAATGTCGGAGGGGGTCCCTGCAGGGCCCATGCCACTGCTATCTATCTGTGCGACTCAATGACGATGGATTCCTCTGATTTTATTTATAAAAAGGTTTGTTTGATCATAGTCTAATTTGTTGTTGTTGTTGTTATACAGACCAACGTCTCAGTGTCCTCCAAGAGCCCAGAATCCACTTGAAAATCTCACTGGTAAATGCCACCCAAAACCATCAGAATCAATCACAAACTGCAGCAGCCAGTGTCCCTCACAGGTTTCTGCCAAAAGCAGGATTTTAAAAAATGTCTACTATTTATTGACCTCTGTCTGGGGTAAGTGGCTTTGTCTATATATATGTTTTGAAACAAATAAGTTAATAATAATAACCTATGTTAAGACCTTTGATTCATCATGTATCACCCCGAACCAGGAAAAGATGTTTGTCCTTCATTAGAGGACAGAACAATCTTTTCATTAGAGTCCCCTTGTTTGCAGAACTATTGGGACCAAATAGCATGCTTCACTGATAATCCAACCAGAGACGACGAGACATTTACAGGGCATTGGGGGTGAGGGGAGGGGAGCAGCACCTTTGCAGGTGCAGTTGGTGGTACTGACCCTGTTCCTTGAGGTCAGTGCTCACGGACCTTCCTCGAATCCCCAGACTTGCCTTTTATCTCATTCCCTTACTTCTACTACAGCTGAGGCTGCTGTCACTATGTCAGGCTAACCTTCCTAGAGAACTGACCAAGACAAGTCCTGTGCTCTGTCTTTTACCTGGATTATCTCATTTGCCCTTACCATTTTTCCAGATGGAAACTAGGGCAAAGAGGTTACACGGCTTGCCCATAGTCACAGAGCAATCACGGAGGAGGATTTGAACCCAAGAGGGCCAGTCGCAGAACCCGAGTGTTAAACCTCACATGGCATTTTCCTTCCGATAAGATAGGAATAGGGTGATTACCAGTCATCAAGTGGTGAACAAGAGAGGGAACCCCCTGTCCTTGCTCCTCTGCCTATAAGGAGGTGGCTTCCTGTCACGAAAGGGAAGGGTGAGGGGATGGGTTCCAGAAACTTGGCTCTGCAGGACTCCTCCTCAGCCCGGGTGCACTGTGGGCAAAGCTGCCCAGAACAGCAAGATGGGCTTGGCACCTCTCCAAGGAAGGCTTTTTTTTTTTTTAAGTTTTACTTATTTTATTTTTAAAATTTATTTATTTTGGAGAGAGAAAGAGAGAGAGAGCAGGAGCAGGAAGCAGGGCAGAGGGAGAGGGAGAGATTATCTTAAGCAGACTCCCTGCTGAGCACAGAGCACAATGCAGGGCTCGATCCCACGACCCTGAGATCATGACCTGAGCCAAAACCAAGAGCTGGACGCTCAACCATCCACCCCTCCAAGGAAGGCTTTGAGTCACCACTTGACCCTGGCCCCAGAAGAAGAGAAAATAAGGAAGGAAATGTGGTAGCTGGAATAACGAGGGCATTTGGATAATCAGGAATAAAAGAGAAATGGTACAACCAGATGGTCCCAGGTTGCACATTCATTTTTCAGCATAAGGGGCAGTGCTGGTCACGGGTGGCCTTTAGTGACAATTGGCAGTGAAAAGAGCTGGCATTCCTCTCCCCATATCCCTCTCATATACACCCTAACATACATTTTCCACATGAAGCCTCATTTACTCTCTCAGAATCTCTAGTGACTACCTGAATAAGTAAGAACCAAGGGGTCAGTCTCTCTCCCTATTTTATTTTTCTTTACCTTACAAGCCTTCATCTCCAGATGCTTCTATGAGAACCTTCCTCCCAGCTCTCTCTGCCCCATCCAACACCATCATAGCCAAAAATAATAAATAATGGTAATAGGCATTAATCCGATGTTTTGTATGCTAGGAACTAGCTAGGATAACAGGCACTGCCTAATTTCATCTTCATGACAAATTTATTGTGCACATTTTACAGATGAAAAAACTGAGTCTCGAATGTCTTGCCCTGGGTTACAACCCTGACATTTATAAGTTCTGCTACATGGGGTTTGAAAACCGCATTCCCTAAAGCATAGTGCCAAAGGACAATGAAGTTTCCAGTCACAACTCTCTCACTTCGTAGTAGTGGGAATTTGAATGAATTCTTCACCTCTGTGGCCTACTGTCCTAGTTTGTACAACTAAGGGGTAATCCCCAAAGCCCCATCTACTTCCACATTTCCACACATATAGTGTTTATCTTGTTTTTAATTAGGATTTTTGAATTATTAGACACATGGTACTTAGACATGGTACTTAGGCACATGGTACTAAGGTCAGAAAGGAAATGTTACTACACCACGTCCCCTAGTTACTCCTGTTCCTTCCCCAGAGGTGGCCATTATTTCTTTTGCCTTCCAGAGAAACTCCCTGCCTATGTAAGTATCATTTCCTGTTTTTGTTTTTGTTTTTAACACAAAAGGTAGCAAAGTCTACATATGTTCTACCCTTTGCTTTTTTTTACTTAAAAACTGGTTTTCAAGATTATTTCCTGTCTCTATACAGGGAGTTGTTTTTCCCCCTATTATCTGCTTGTATCATAACCTATTCCTATTCACAGAAATTTAGGTTGTTTCTTTTGCATTTTCAGAGATGTCACAATAAATACCCCTTACATCCCTCAGTTGGCACGTGTGCCTGTACAATCTGTATTGTTTTAGAAGATTTTATTTATTTATTGTCAGAGGAAGAGAGAGACCAAAAGCAGAGGGAGGAGCAGGCAGAGGGAGAAGCAGTCTTCCCACTGAGCAAGGAGCCCGATGCAGGACTAGATCCCAGGACCCTGGGATCATGACCTGAGCCAAATGCAGATGCTTAACCAACTGAGCCACCCAGGCACCCCTGTACTGTCCGTATTTCGTCTCAAGTGTAGACAGAGCAGGGGTGAGGGGGTTGGGTGCAGTTGGGAGAGGAGACAGCACCAAACTACTCTTAGAGGTCTGCCCTCGTAACTTCTCCGAGATAGCTCCAGCCCAGGCCTCACACTATGAGGACTGGCAGAAAGTAAGTTAGGAAAATACTGGGTGTGCAGAGAGTGTCTGATGAGAAAGGAGGGGCAGAAGTTGACCAAGAGTGGGGATCAGTCCCAAGAGTTCATGCCAGGAGCATTACATGTCATCAACAGGGGAGCTGGGAAATCAGGGTGGGCCATTGAATCAAGTCAGTGACCAAGCATGGGTGACCTAGGTAAGAGTTCAGAAGAAAACCAGGGATGGACAAACCCAAGGTGGGAACTGCAGAGGAGCCAGGGATCACAAGACAAGGCAGGGGAGTCCAGAGGGCAACTCAGGGGATGTTTCTCGGGAGCATTATGGAGGTTGTCCTGTGGCCCATGGGGTAACAGCAACTCTCAACCCAATGGACACGGGGCCCCCTAAAGCCACACTACCTTGGACATGCCTTGGACCCCAGCCTTTTCTAAGCAACACTTGCTGAGGCCCATAACTGTCAAGAGTGATTTCCTGTAGGAACCATCCTATGCTGCTGGGATAAGCAACCTAAGGGGTCCAGCACTATTACGGGAAAACCCAGAACTCTCTTTCAGGAAGCGAGTCTGGGGCTTACATGTGAAGCAGAACACGCAGGGCCGTGTCTTGTGTGGTGCATGGACTTTGTGGACATCTCCGTGGCAACGTGGCAGGCAGGATGCCGACTGACAGGGCCTGTGAAAGCCCCTCC